CCCCAAAACCCCAAAACCCCAAAACCCCAAAACCCCTGATTTGGGCTACCCAATTGAGTACTTTTTGGGTATAGAGAATACAACTTTTTTGAAAGAAGGTATACTGATTACAAAATTTCACGAAGAGATTTGATAGCTAAGACGTTCGACTTTCTCACCAGTGTTTGCTCTCTCCTCTACTTCTAAGAAGTTTGAGCTAAGGGATTTTCAAATAACTCTATATTTAGTATTTTTAATGCAGAAATAATGTTCACTAACTATTCAAATTCGACACTTATGAAAATCTGGAATTGGACAAGCTTGAAAAGATAAACTATAGAGAGGAATTAGCCTTTTCAAAATCTCTGGCATTGAAATGGTACTACGCGGCAAGTTAGGAGTGTATATTCTGGTCGTGGCTAGTCCTCTCCCTTGTATTTAGATGAGAATCCCCTCTATAATCTGAAGATTTTATTTCAAATAGTAACAGATTCCCAGAAAATTGGGAAAGATTGGGTAGCGATAAATTATCGATAAATTTAGTGCCTTCTTGGCTTAAAAAATTGTACAAGGGAGATCGGCTCATCACTTCTGTTCCCCATTGTACTTTTTGAAACTTTCCACTTCAAATACCATCATGAGAGGTTTTTTCTGGATTTGATCTTTGAAAGAGATATGGAAATTATTTTCCTCAGGGATCTGAAAATTAGCATCCTGCCTTTTTGGCTCATCCTCCTCCTCTTCCTTGATCTTACTATTCTCAGAATCTTTCACAGACTTTAGCTTGGTAGAGATCTGGTTACCAGATCTATCGAATCTAACTGAGCTGCTCTTTTCGCGCAATCAGCTCTGAGGATAAGTTCTGAACTTGTTCCTCTTCTTGATCTTAAAACTGATTTTGTCAACGGAGTCATAGGAGAATTTTCCAGAAAGTTTTGGTTGTGCTAATATCTCACTTTTTGAGAAATTATCACTTCCCCTGAAAAAGTCAGATCTTTTACACTTTGTAGTTTGGGATAATAAGGGGTCTAAAAGATAGCTATCGTTGACTTGGTCATTATCTTCTGTAGCTTCATCTTCAAAACCTGTGCTTCCTATACCTAATCAGAAATGGTAATTTAGGCTCCTTACCGGTATTTAGAGGGTCCTTTAGGTTGATTTTGATTTCTTCTTGGTCCTTTTGATCACACTTGGCCATTTATTTAATGAAAGGATTTTGGATTATTCTATATTCTTACCAAAAATAGGGGTTTTGGGGTTTTGGGGTTTTGGGG